GGGAGGGCAGGAGGGACGCTGCCTGCTGTCAGGATGGCTGAGCGGGGAGGAGAGCGGAGCCGCTGTCATTTTCAGGATGACAGCGGCTCTGTGCGTGGCAGAGCGGGGGATGGGTGGATATCATTGATACTTACCGATCCTCCGTGCAGAGCAAACACCGGAGCGATCAGCTGATCACATAGTACTATGTGTCCCAAGTTATGAATGAACAGGATGTGATTTACATCACTTCCTGTTCATTCATTAATTTCTCAATGGGGAGATGCACTCACTACAGAGGCTCCTCCCCATTCTGAAACTGCTGATAGTAAATATTTATCTATCATCAGTGTCTGAATGAATGGGGGAGGAGTCTCTGTACTGAGTGCTGAGGCTGCTGAAAGGAAGATTGAGGATTTGGTGTCCTTAAACTAAAACGTTTCATCAAACAAAAACACATTTTTCTGCTATTTTGGATTCAGCGATTGGCGTGTTCTGGGGGCGGGGCGCATGACGTCATATGACACCGCACGTGCTGGGCGCCGCCATCTTGGTGTATATCTAGGTATACACCAAGATGGTGGGGCCAATATCGGCGTGTGACGTCACCTGACGCCACGCGTGCATGGCGTCATGTGACGTCATGCTCCTCGCCTGCAAGATGGCGGCACGCACTCACAGAACGCACCGGGGGCCAACATGGCCGCCGCACATTCTCAAACAAAATGTTATTATTATTATTATGCACCGGATACATTTCTGGTATATTGGGACATATAATAATTCATGTATGTTACACGGAGTCCGGGGTCTGTGTTCTGTTTTCTATTTTTACTTTCCTAGATACACTGACTGGAAGAAAGGGGTCGGCATGACGACCGGACACTTTATTATTACAGACTCCATTGTAGTCTGACATCTGTTGTTTTATGTGATAAGAATTCTTCTATTGTGCCGACAAGTTTAACACCTTTGTATAACAGTTTTATTTTTATCACACTTTTTATTATGTTTCTTTGCGGCTTAACAAAATGGGAGTCTTTAAATGGTGCGGATATTGGAGACATGGGTGTGGTTACTGAGGGGTGTGGCCACTGAAGGGTGTAGTCACTGAGGGGTGTGGTTACTGAGGGGTGTGGTTACTGAGGGGGGTGGTTACTGAGGGGTGTAGTTACTGAGGAGTGTGGTCACTGAGTGGTGTGGTCACTGAGGGGTGTAGTTACTGAGGGGTGTGGCCACTGAAGGGTGTGGCCATTGAGGGGTGTAGTCACTGAGGGGTGTAGTTACTGAGGGGTGTGGCCACTGAAGGGTGTGGTCACTGAGGGGTGTGGTCACTGAGGGGTGTGGTCACTGAGGGGTGTGGTCACTGAGGGGTGTGGTCACTGAGGGGTGTGGTCACTGAGGGGTGTGGTCACTGAGGGGTGTGGTCACTGAGGGGTGTGGTCACTGAGGGGTGTGGTCACTGAGGGGTGTGGTCACTGAGGGGTGTGGTCACTGAGGGGTGTGGTCACTGAGGGGTGTGGTCACTGAGGGGTGTGGTCACTGAGGGGTGTGGTCACTGAGGGGTGTGGTCACTGAGGGGTGTGGTCACTGAGGGGTGTGGTCACTGAGGGGTGTGGTCACTGAGGGGTGTGGTCACTGAGGGGTGTGGTCACTGAGGGGTGTGGTCACTGAGGGGTGTGGTCACTGAGGGGTGTGGTCACTGAGGGGTGTGGTCACTGAGGGGTGTGGTCACTGAGGGGTGTGGTCACTGAGGGGTGTGGTCACTGAGGGGTGTGGTCACTGAGGGGTGTGGTCACTGAGGGGTGTGGTCACTGAGGGGTGTGGTCACTGAGGGGTGTAGCCACTGAGGGGTGTAGCCACTGAGGGGTGCTGTAAAGCTTTCTGGCACAGGGCGCCTAAGGCCGGCCCTGGTTGTATGCGGCTGACTGGTCTCATGCTGAGTGTACAATGTACGTAGAGACACTAGAGGGGGAAATATGGAACAGCAAAGATGTAAGGACGGGAATGTGAGAAGCCAATCGGGAGGATTACCTGCTCAACCTGCACATAGGTGCCGTGCTGCTCACACCCGGTGTCAAAGATGTATTTTCCTGGACCGACCATCTGAGGAGAGACACAGCGCCATGATTGGACGGGATTCATATCAGATAGAAGACTGAAAGGGAGGGACCAGGATGCAGACAGTGCCGCCCCATAGGCGGGGATAAGGGGGCGGGGCTACTCACCGTGTTGCTGGAGAACTTCCCCTGGTAGCGGTGATTCAGGTGAATGAGTTCTCCGGCTGCGTCTTGCTTGCCGTTCACCCATGTGCCCATGTACTTGGATCCCGTGTCAGCGTAGGTGTACACGCCTTGTCCGTGTCTGGGGGAGGGGACAGCACACAGAATGTAACACGGCAGCCTCAGGAGACAAGGAGTGTATGTAGAAGTGACACATAACGATGATAGAAGAGGCGGGGCATTATAGGTGAGGGGAGGGGATTACCTCTGATGCGTGAACCAATCTCCGTTGTACGTGTCACCATTGGCATAAGTGTAGACGCCGTGTCCCTGCCGCTGGTCATCCACCCAATCACCTGGAGGGAGAGGAGACCATCATGACATGGGGGGAACCGAGGTGGGGGAGGAGCATGAGGAGGCAGACAAGGACAATTCTGGGGAGATCCGGGGTGGGGGAGGAGCAAGAGGAGGCAGAGGAGGACAATTCTGGGAGGTCCGGGGTGGGGGAGGAGCAAGAGGAGGACTATTCTGGGGAGGTCTGGGGTGGGAGAGGAGGGAGAAGAGGCAGAGGAGGACAATTCTGGGGAGGTCCGGGGTGGGAGAGGAGGGAGAAGAGGCGGAGGAGGACAATTCTGGGGAGGTCCGGGGTGGGGGAGGAGGGAGAAGAAGAGGATGAGGATCGTTGCTCTGGTTACCTTCATACTTGGATCCGTCGGGGTAGAGGAACGTCCCCACACCGTGCTTCTGGTTCTGTTGATATTCTCCGATGTACCGGGAGCCATTCTTGAATCGATAAGTTCCCTGTGAATGGAAATATTAAATTACCCCAATATTACCCATCCCCCGGCCTCCAATCCCACCACCATGGGGCCTCCAATCTCACCACCATGGGGCCTCCAATCTCACCACCATGGGGCCTCCAATCTCACCACCATGGGGCCTCCAATCTCACCACCATGGGGCCTCCAATCCAACCACCATGGGGCCTTCAATCTCACCTACCTCCAATCCCACCACCATGGGGCCTCCAATCCCACCACCATGGGGCCTCCAATCCCACCACCATGGGGCCTTCAATCTCACCTACCTCCAATCCCACCACCATGGGGCCTCCAATCCCACCACCTCCAATCCCACCACCTCCAATCCCACCACCATGGGCCAAGTGATGAAGCGTAGGGAGCGTGGGAGGAGTATGGTGGGCAGATCACTTCCCAGCAGGTGATGTGGAGATCAGACTTTGTATTGCTGCATGAGAGTGGACGGCAGGAGGATGTGGGATTGTGTTCTCACCTGGCCGTGTCGCTTCCCCTTCTCATACATTCCTTCATACGTGTCACCGATCGGCAACCGCGCCTTCCCGTGTCCGTGTCTCTCCCCGCCTTCATTCCTCTCCCCTTCATACTCCTGCAAGAGAGACGGCCATGAGTGCCAGGACCCCAAACA